GAGGAAAACGCACGAATATTTGTGTAGCTCCGGACACAGAGTTGAAGTGGCTAGCCAGTCCATCGAAGACTCGAAATAACACAGTACTTCAATGAAATGCTCAGAATATACAAGTGGGAGTTCTCGGATTTCAATGTTCTGTGGGTCCCAAAATGTTTTCTGCGGCCCACTCAGCAAAGTACTTAGAGAAGGTCCGTTTGCACGCATATCCACTGTCTCACATAGATTGACTGCTTTTGAATTTATTTTATTTATTTATATGTACATAAATATATATGCACAACTATGTATATGTATATGTATATATATATATATATATATATATATATATATATCACCCACGTCTGACGCCAGACTGTGCGTCCTATAAATCATGGTACATCATGGGATACAAAATACAAACGTTACACGATTGCCTAGCGGGGTGAATATTTCCGGGGTACCCCGGCCAAGGCAGGTGAATTTCCTTGAGGAATACAAAACTGGAGCCTTCGGCGACCTGATCCGCAAGGCAGGGCGGTGTGTGAAAACCGCAATCGTCGACGAATGCAGCCATCTGGTCGTCGAGACAATAACACGCCTAGAAATGCGAGACCATTTCTGGATTCCTCTTCCAGCGTGAACCCGATTTTCGGATGAGCTCTATTGAATTTCTCCAACAGAATATCAATATACTTGTCAGCAACGCACATAAATGTGATGTCATCCACCTATCGTTTGTGGAAGGGGGATTTTTCGAAAGCCTTTGAGAGTAATCCGTTTTTACTAAATCAAAATTTAGCCAAGAAAATGTCTGCTCAACCAATAGAGTTAGGAAACTTTGTTCTGCGGACTCTGTCGAGTTTGAACTGGGAAGAATACGAAATGTTTTTCAATAGAATCAGGTTTGTTTTAGCCACAACGTAAATACCGAAACACAAGATTTCGATGACAACGTTTCGACCTTCTTGGAAGGCCTTTGTCAAGTCAGTTTTATCGGTTTCTCAAAATCACAAGCTTTAAGGTGAAAATCGCGGCGTTCAAGGTTGACCCAAAAACGGGGTCAAGTGC